TGCGGATGTTCTGACGCCGGGACCGGGACTCCAAGTCATCACATTTATCCTCCAACTGTGCCACAGTTTTAGTAAGGCTGTCTACTGTCTTCCGGAGGCTAACGATTTCATCAGTGCAGGTGGATAGGGATTTCTCCATCTCAGCAACCGTTACGTTTAGCCCAGTAAAACTCTCCTGCACCGCAGTGAGGCCAGAGGACAGTTCCTTCTTGAAGGATAGCAGCTCGGATTTAATCGAAGAAAGACTTTCACCAAGAACAGCATGAAACTCTGCTTTAAGTATAGCGGTAAAGTCTTCCCGGAGAGCCGCAAGCAGTTCCTGTTTAAGACTGCTGGTATCACTAATAGCAGCGGCATGGGCCGCTGCCCCCGGCCCAGGAGACGATTCAGCACAGGTCGAGGACTCACCACGAGGACCCAGCCGCAGGTGGGACTGAATCGAATTTCCTCCTTTAACAGGCTTTGGTGGCATTCTAGTATCCAAAAAAGAAAGATGGTGTTCACTGTATAGGTTACGTATCGCTTGAAGTCGAAGTCGAGAAAAAGTGCCAGGTAATAATGAACAAAAAACAGCTAACCCTGCAGGAGCACGCCAAGACACAACTTACTCCACCGCCATTCAGCCGGAAGTTCTCGGATCTTTTAATCTGTCTCAAGGTGGTGATGGGTTTCCTAGACATAACTTGGTTAACATGTTGAAGCTGGTACCCAAGTTTAATGAACAAGATCCTGATGTGTTTTCTCTTTGTTTGAGGACATGGCAGAGGACAATGAGTGGGGTGATCTCGATTGTTCCATTCTGCTGCAAAGTGTGCTGGTGGGTAAGGCCCAAAAAGCTTATGTTTCATTAACGTCAGCTGAAAGAAAGGTATACAAATCTGTTAAAGAAGCTGTTTTGAAGGCTTATGAACTGGTTCCTGAACATTACAGGCAACAATTTAGGAAATGCAGGAAGGCTGAAAAACAGACAAATACAGATCTAGTCAGACAACTAAACACCCAGTTTTATCGTTGGTTATCAGCTGAAGGTGTGAAGGAGTTTGAATCCCTTTGTGATTTGATGGTGTTGGAACAGTTCAAGACCATTATTCCAGATCGGGTTGCCACATATGTTAACGAACAAAAGGTAAAAACTGCTGCTAAAGCTGCTGTCTTGGCAGATGAGTATGTTCTGATAGCTTTAAGGAATCTCATCATGACTGGTTCTCTGGTAAGACTGGAGTGGAACCTACATTGAAATCTAAAGCAGACTCTGTTTGTAACTATTGTCGCCAGAAGGGACACTGGAAAAACGAGATAATCAAAAACCTGTTGCTTTAGCCAGCGTTTCAAAGTTGCATTTAGTGGAGTCTACACATCCAGCTAAAGTTGAAAGTGTAAGACCAACTATTTTAGCTGCACCTGTTGACTATAAGTTTTTTTCAGAACTGACTGATACAGATCCCCATATTTGTGAGAAGAATGTCGGTCAAGACTATGCACCTTTGATCACAAATGAGTTTGTTTCTTTGAGTGGCAGTTCAAATAAAGTGGTTGTGAAGATTCTACGTGACACCGGAGCATCTGAATCTTTCATATTGGAATCTGTTTTGCCATTTTCTTTTTTATCTGATACTGGTTGTAGTGTCTTAATTAGAGGTATTGGGTTGGAGACTTTCTCTGTGCCTCTTCATAAGATCTACTTGAAGTCAGAACTTGTACAAGGAGAGGTAACTATAGCTGTTCGTCCTTCTTTGCCTGTGGAAGGTGTATCTCTCATTGTAGGAAACAATCTGGCAGGTGGACGTGTGTGGCGGGATGTTGCACCCCCTCCAGTGGTCCGAGCTTGTCCATCCATTTCTGTGTCAGACGTATGTGCTCGAGACTTTCCTGAGGCTTTTCCAGCTTGTACAGTAACTCGTGCCATCACTCGTTCTTTGGCTGATAAGGAGGTCGAGTTTGGTAAGCGTGGTTCTATTCTTGAGAAATCTTCCTGTTCTTTTGTCACTCAGTGAGTTGATTGCAGCCCAGCAGGAGGACACAACCTTAGCTGCTCTGTTTGACAAAGTCCAGGCAGCTGAACAGGACACAAAAGTGTCAAGTGGATATTTTCTGCAAAAAGATCTGTTGGTACGTAAATGGTTGCCTTATAGTGACAGGGAAATTGTTGGTCCAGTTTATCAAGTGGTTGTTCCAGTCAGGTTCAGAAACATTGTTTTGAAAACTGCTCATGGACAATTGTCTGGACTTTTAGGAGTCAATAAAACTTATATTCGAGTTTTACGACATTTTTATTGGCCACGTCTCAAAAAAAGATGTCGCTTATTTTGTGAAAACTTGTCACACTTGCCAGTTAACTGGGGAACCTAATCAGACCTTGAAACCTGCTCCACTTTTTCCCATACCGGCTTCTGGTAAACCTTTTGAACACTTGATCGTTGACTGTGTTGGCCCAGTGATTCCTTCAAAGTCAGGATCTGTGTATTTGCTGACAGTTATGTGTAGAAGCACTCGTTATCCTGCAGCCTATGCTCTGAAAACCATTACGACAAAGTCGGTGGTCAAAGCTTTGTCGAATTTCATTTCAGTGTTCGGAATTCCGAAGACCATTCAGACAGACAGAGGAACCAACTTCACTTCACGTATGTTTGCTGAGATTTTGAAACAACTTGGTGTAGTTCATCAACAAAGCAGTGCTTATCATGCTCAAAGCAAGGGGGCGCTAGAGCGTTTTCACCAAACCCTGAAGGTATTGTTGCGAGCATACTGCACAGAGTTGAGTAGAGACTGGGAAGAAGGTCTGCCTTGGCTTTTCTGGCAGCTCGTGAAGTTATGCAAGAAAGTACAGGGTTCAGTCCGAATGAACTTGTGTTTGGAAATCAGGTGCGTGGTCCTCTCGCTATTCTAAAATCGAACTTGGAGAGTTCTGATCCACCATTAAACTTGTTTGACTACATTAATGGTTATCGTCGCAAACTTTTCTTGGCTGGCAAACTAGCCTCTGAGAATCTTAAAAAGGCTCAGAGAAAAATGAAACGATGGTTTGACCAAAAAGCTGAAAGAAGAGTGTTTCACCCAGGAGATAAGGTGCTTGCCTTACTTCCCATTCAGGGTTCACCATTTCAGGCAAAGTTTTACGGTCCATATTTTGTGTTGAGACAGGTGTCTGAACAAGACTACATGGTTTCTACCCCAGACCGAAAGCGACCAACTCAACTGTGCCATGTAAACTTACTAAAGCCTTATTTTGGTCATACTCTGGAGGAAAAAGATGTGAAGGCAATTGCTGCTTCTGTAGAAGTAGACTTGAGCTGCACAGCAGGATTAGATGAGGATGTGCAAACTCCAGATGATTCAGTGTTTCAACCAAGACTTAAGAACTCTGAGATATTGTCTAACTTACAAACATTATTGAGTCATTTGTCTACGGAAAGAAGTGAGCAGTTGAAGCAGTCAATTTTGGATTTTCATGTTTTGTTTAGTGAAATTCCAACATGTACTAATCTAATCGAGCATGATATTGATGTGAAAGATGCGCAGCCCATCCGTCAACATTTTTATCGTGTTCATCCAGAGAAAAGCAAGTTTTTGGAGACAGAAATTCAATATTTGCTGGACATCGGCCTGGCTAAACAATCTTGTTCCAGTTGGGCCTCACCATGTTTGTTGGTTAAAAAACCTGACGCTACTTGTAGATTCTGTACTGATTACAGGAAATTGAACAGCATTACAAAACCTGACTCCTACCCACTTCCTCGGATGGAAGATTGCGTTGATCATGTTGGAACAGCTAAGTATATGAGTAAATTTGATTTGCTCAAAGGTTACTATCAAGTACCTTTGTCTGCGCGAGCCCAAGAGGTTTCTTCCTTTATTGTACCATCTGGATTATACTCTTACACTGTAATGAGTTTTGGTCTTGGGAATGCACCTGCCACTTTCCAGCGGTTGATGAATCAAGTAGTGGCTGGGTTGGAAGGTTGTGCTGTCTACTTGGATGATGTCGTGGTCTACATTGACATTTGGACTGAACACTTACAACGCATTCGGAAATTGTTTCAGCGTCTTCAGGATGCTCATTTAACTGTGAACTTAGCAAAATGTGAGTTTGCAAGAGCTACAGTGATTTATTTGGGAAAAGTTGTTGTGCAATGACAAGTAAAACCAGTAAGAGCTAAAGTCCAAGCCATTGATAGCTTCCCTCCTACCTCAAAGAAGGAGCTGATGAGGTTTTTGGGTATGGTGGGTTACTATAGAAACTTCTGTCAGCATTTTTCTACTGTAGTTGCTCCATTACCCGACCTATTAAAAGCTAAGGTCCAGTTTAAGTGGTCTTCAGCCTGTCAGAAGAAAAAAAATATATAATAAAATAAAAATATATAATTGGGGGTACGCTGTAAATTGTCCTTGCAATAAACTGTCCATTAGCACCAAATTGTCTCTGCAAACACCTTATGCCACACTCTCCCCCACAAGTTTGAATGTCTCCCGACATTACAACCAAAGTTTTACCAAGGCCGCCACAATTGTCTCTGCTCAATATGCTGAGTCTCTATCACTTCACAGTGTCTTGACACGAATGATGGCTGTCCCAATGTCTCATAGCTCAATACTACAGGTGGCTGCCTGAGTCTGTGTGGGTGTGTACCTTTTGAGGTGAACCCTCTCTTGACTCACCACTCTCCTGTACTCCAGATGCAGGATACAGGTCTGGTTACTCAGTCAGTAGCAACACATCATCAACATTGTCATTCTGCAGTGGCAAATCCTCTTCTGATTGTCGTGGCAAATCCTTTTCATCAGGTGAGGAACTCTGTTGAGGCTGGAAAGGTTCAGCCTCAGGATTCAACAACTCTTGGCTCTGTTTCTTCCCCTTTCTTGAACGGAAATACCAGTGGTAGGCGCCGTCGTCGTCCTCATCCCCTGAACCACTGTCTGACGCTGACTTTAACTGCTGGTCGCGTGTGGTGTCCTCTTCTTCTTTGCAGGTCTCTGGGTGTTGGTCGGCTGGGTTGAAAGCTGTGTAGATGAAAGCTCAAGGGGCAGATGGTCACATGGTAGCAACAGGTTTCTATGTACCACTCTTTCTCTCCCATTGCCATTCTCGGGACTGATCTGGTACACTGGCCTGTCCTCCCCCTTCCTTTCCTTTACCCTGAAGATTTGGTCCTCCCAGTAGGCCTGAATTTTCCTTGTTCCACCCCTCAGAGTGAGGTTCCGGACCCGATCACCTGGTTGGAGGTCCCTACTGAGCACTTTCTTATCGTAGTTGGCTTTCCCACGAGCTGCTCCTTTATCTGTATTGCTGTCAGCAATCCGGTAGGCATCCTGCATGGTATCCTTCCAGTGATGGACATAATCCTCATAACTCCCATGGGCATTGTCTCTCTCAATGTTGAACAACAGGTCAATTGGGAGGCGCGGAGAGCGTCCAAAGATGAGGTAATAGGGTGTGTATCCTGTACTCTCATTCTTTGTACAATTGTACGCGTGGACGACCTTAGCCAGGTTCCTCTTCGTCCAGGGCGCGCAACATGGAGAGCAGAGTTCGGTTGAATCTCTCCACCTGTCCATTCCCTTGAGGGTGATATGGTGTGGTGTGTGAGCCCTGGATGCCAGAGAGTTCTTTTAGCCTTGACAACAACTTGTTCTCGAACTCTCCACCCATATCATGGTGCAGCTTGACAGGGAAACCAAACTTCAAAGCAAAATCGTTGAAGAGCTTATCAGCCAGTCTTTGCTGACTTGTTCTTTGTTGCATAGGCCTGTGCGAACCTTGTGAAATGATCCATAACCACCAGAATGTACTCATAACCATGTTTGCACTTGTCCAGGTGGAGGAAGTCGATTGAAACTAGCTCGAATGGATATGTGGTCAGGATCGGGGTCAAAGGTGCACGGGTCTGCCTGTGTGGTTTCTTCTTCTTGACACATTCACAAACGTTGGTCACAAAATGCTCCACATCCTTGTACATCTGTGGCCAGTAAAACCTTTCTCGGACTAGGTCCAGAGTCCTTTCGACCCCCAGGTGACCCATGTCTTGGTGTAATTCTTTAAAGATTAATGGGTGGTAGGACTTAGGAGCGACTAGCTGTTCTCGTCGGAGGGTCCTACAGCGCAGGATGCCATCGTCGCACAAGCTGATTTTTAGCCAATGTTTTGGCAAGGTAGCGACTGCTGGATGTTCTTTCTTAATCGCCGCTCTGCTTGGTCTGTGTCCTTGGCTCTTGTACCAGATGACTCATGCCAGTATTTCATCCTCTCTTTGAGCCTCACGGATCTGTGATGGAGTTAGAGGCTTGCCAGTCCCACTGCTACAATCCTTTACCAGGCTCAAAGCACAGGTCTGGATGACTCC